AAATTCATTCTCAATCTCTTATACATAGAGACTTATATAGCAGTAATGTTTTACTAAATAATTTGTATAGTGCATATATTACAGATTTAGAATTATCCTGTTCTATTTCTAAAAAGAAAGATGATGGAGTGTATAGAGTTTTACCTTATATTGCTCTAGAAGTTTTAATTTATAAACAATATTCTAAAGAATCTGATGTTTATTCATTTAGAATGATTATGTAGAAAATATTGTACGAAAAGCCTGTATAATATCGACAAAAATTAAGTGAACAAGAACTTCATTTAAAAATATGCTATGATGGTTTATGGCCATTTGTGGACAAAGAAACCCTAATGTTACATTGAATTAATGAGAAAATGTTGAGAAAAGAGACAGAATGACCTATGGCAAAAATGATTCATGAAAAGTTTAATAAATGTCTGTATAACAAAAATATCAGGCTACTATGCCAAAAGAATAAATATCAGATTTTCAAGTGTAAGGTTCATTTTGAAGAACTTCGGAAGCCACATAAGGAACCCTCTTATCTGAATTATCCATATCCAAACCTGTACTTGAAAATATCGATGATTATTACACGAACTTGTTTAGAGATGGAAATAAATATATTTTTCCAACTGATTCAATCTCTTAAGATAGTGTTTTTTTATTAGCATTTTTTTTTATATTATTAATATCATTTTTATTTAGTTAGAGATAGCAGCATACAAGATTTAAAAGTCAAAGATTGAATCCATTACTAAGTTATTAGATAGAATTTTAAATGTCCTAAATTAACAGAATCGGTTATTAGCTTTATAATTAATAAATAATTTCTGATAAATCAACTAAAAGAGTAGATAGTAGTAGATATGTAATATAGTAGTAGATATGTAATATATTAGTAGATATGCTAAATGTAAAAATATTATTCAACTTTAAAGTTGTTATGCATCAAACTAAAACTTGCATCTGATCAAAATTTATTTGATATTTGAATCTCATGGATCAATTTATATGATCTCATCTCACTTAATTGAACAGAAGCCCATTGGCTTCATTTAAATTTTATTTATATTTATCAAAATAATAAGCCTCAAGAATTACAAAAATAGTGCAATGATATTTTAGTAAAGTATCCTGATAAGATTTTTAACTCAGAAGAATTTACCTCAATTAAAGAAAATACATTAGTCTTACTTATTAGTCAGGATGATTTACAAATAAAAGAAGTAAAAATTTAAAACTGTATTATTGAATAAGGAATTGCTCAAAATCTTGGCCTACTGTCTGACTCTGAAAATTGTTTGCATGAAAATTTTTTAGCTTTAAAAACCATCTTACAAAATTGTTTACAGGTGATGACATTGATGACATTGTTAATAATATGCAACCATATCAACAAAAAAATATTTGGAAAGACATAGTAAATAAGTTTATGACAGACCAACAATATCTTTAGAAATTCTTCCATTTCGCATAATTTTAACACCAAAATTACTAAGTAGAATTATATTTTCAACAGTTATCAATGAAGCACATGCAGCAGAATTGCTTCATAGGTTCATAAGAAAGCTAATACATATTTAACAACAAATAATACATATGAGTTTAAATTACTTCTTCGTGGAACTAGTAATGGTTTTGTCAATGATTCATTTTGGGATTTATGTGATAAGAAAACATATCTTATTTTAGTTATAAAAGTTAAAAATACTGATAAAATTCTTGGGGGTTATAATCCTGTTGGTTGGGATAAATCATTTGTAGGTTGCAAAGTTAGTTTTATTTTTTTATTAAAAAATAGTATCATACAAATTTTATTTTAAGTCATGTAAAAAAACCAGGCATGCAATTGAGAGAATTCTAGTTGTGGACTATTATAACAGTAATTTAGCTATAAAGAATAATTTTAATCAATATAAACAGTGTTGAAGTAGTCAATTTTTATATGAAAAACAAATTAGAAATAAATCTACATTTGAAAGTGATAAATGTTTATTTTTTTCAGTAGAAGAATATAAAATATTTCAGATTAGTAAAAACTTCTAAAGTTTTATGCTAATTAATTAGCTAGATACATAGCTTTATCAATATTGTGCAATAACACAGTCTATTTAGTTTATGAGTTTTAGTCTTATACTATCACTGAAAGTATAGACATTTCATAATTATAAATCACCTGTTTTTGTAATACTTTAAATTCTTGCTTATTCTTGGACAAATTTTAAAAATATCATATTTAGTACTAATAAAAAAAGAGTAATCATTCAATTTCATGAAATATGTAATAGAATCATCATTATACTTTTGAAGAATATGTATACATAAATTTATAATGATATCATTACATAATTATATAAATAACTTGGCTTTCTTTGGCAACTAGTATATATAAATTCTCATTCTTTAATACTTTCAAAACATCAACAATTTTGCTATTGTGACATTAAAAGATCAATGGTTGAAATTGTAGAAAGTAAAGAAATTTTGAGAAATTTGATCAACATTATTTGAAAAGCAACTGGTAGAAAAGTTGTTACTGTTACTTTCAATAACTAGTTACGCTTAATAACCATCTTATTAGATAATGAAACTAATGTTACTATAAATTTAGAAGTACCAAGAGCAAAAAAATTTTTTTGTTATATAAATTTGAATTTCAGAATATACAACAATAACTGAATTTTTTTTTAAAGAATTGTTGATAATAAGAACATTTCAAAATATCAACTATACAATAAAAGTATTAGTGACAACTCAGAACATGACCAAGACATGGATAAATTGATTAATGTTATCTCTGAAATGTTTAATTAATCAAAAAATAGCATGCAAGCCAACGATGTTAAAAATGTATGCCAACTTAATAATGAACGCATTAATATTAATAATCAGGTAAGAAACTTTTTAATTATGACAGCTGAAATCAGTTGAAATTTGGGATTTTTAACTAAAGCAACTAATCATTTTGAAAAGGATGATGAAAGAAATAATAAGATAAAAAAATTAATGATTTAATTTGAATTAGAATTTTAAATTAATTAAACCAACTTACTCTAATAATTAAAAAAATGAAATAGAAAATATTATTATAAGTATTATTAGGTTAAACTTTTTTATTAGTCTGAAAAGTAATTATTCAAATATTTTTATATATACCAAAATGATTCTAGAATTTATCATACAATATAAATATAAATATTCAAGATAATAACAATAATTAGAAGGATGAGGTAAATAAATATTGTAAATTTTGCTAATAATTGGATGTTATTCAAGTATTTTTTTAAAAAAATATTTCTAGAATTTGTATGAGAAAAGAATTAATAAAGTAAATATGTGTTTTTTAAATTCTTAAATTAATTAGAATTTATTCAAGTTTTTTAAACTGCAAAAAAAAAAAACATCTAGAATTTATTGCATGAAACTATGGATGTTGACAATAATAGGGTAAATAAATGAAAAATTTAGTTTGAATTTACTAATATAAGAATAATATTAAAGTATTTTAATCATGTAAAAAATAGTTCTAAAATTTAACATATGAAACTATAAATATCAATGAAGAAGTAAATATGTATTTTTTATTTTAAATTAATTAGTATTAATTTAAGAATTTTAATCAAGTAAAAAGATTGTTCTAGAATTTAGTACATAGAACTATAGATATCAATGATGAACATGAGGAAAGAAATAATAGGGTAAATAAAATCAAAAAATTAGTTTAAATTCTATTAATAGAAGTGCAATTATTCAAATATTTTTAAATATGCAAAAAGCATGAAGCTATGGATATTCACAATATTAATAACAATTTAAAGAATTTTCCAAATCTATACATTCTTATTACAAAGAAACCTTCATCAGCAAGTATTTTTTATATTAATGTTTGCATAAGCATTAATACAATAATTGAATTTTATGATTAATAATTAATTATTTCATTTTTATTTTCATAATTAAAGAAATGTAGATATTTGGATACTTCTGTAAATTCAGTATGTATGAAACCTATAACAATTAATATATGCTATAATTTTAATTTGTTTTTTAATATTTCACAAGTTTATTTGAAGAAAGAAACCAAAATTAATAGGTAAGCTAACCTTTTACATCACTAATCAAAATACTAAATTAATGATTTAAAATTATATTTTAAATATTTAGAAGCTTCAGATTCTTTAGATTTGGCTTCAGAAGGTTCAGATTCAACTTCAGAAGCTTCAGATTTGGCTTTAGAAGCTTCAGATTTTTAAATACAATTTCAGAAGTAGTGAATAAAAAAAAATATATATATAATTTTACTAATTAATCCAAAAATTAATTATTTAGTAACTATTTAATTTTGATATAAAGTCATATAAAAAACTTATAATACTTAAGATTAACTTTTTTTAATAATCACAAAAAGAATAAATCTCTTAAAAAAAAAGAAAACATGCTATTGTTGAAGCAAAAGAATCTAATATTCACAAAAAGAATGAAAAAAAAGAATTAAGTATGTGAATATATATATACTGAATATTTTTTATATTAATTTTTTTTCAAACCATCAACTTATAAATTTACTATAATGCAATCAGTTTATATTAATTTATTAAAGAAAAAAAGAAGAAAAAAGAGAATGCCCAAAACTTTTGTATCTCAAGATCTAACAAAAATATCTAAAATGTACTCTTAGTTTGTCAACAGATATTTCAATGAAGCCTCGATATCATTATTAGAACCAGAACCATTGCCAGTGCTAATAGAAGATGTTAATAGTTGCACTGCTTATCTTCGAATTTGGGATTCTCATTATAATCATTGTATAAGAGAAATCAAAAACCAGAAGTACAAAATGTTAAAATGTATTTATTTATTATCTGAAGTTTTTTTCAACATGTTAAAGATTTGTCATCAAGAACAAGATAATAAAAATGTGATAGAAAAAAATACAGGTTATTGGAAGAGAAGGGATATTAAATCACGAATGAACAACTCTGGAATATTAGTTCACATTCAATGCTAAAAAAATGGACAAGATGTTGAAGACTATGCCACTTTCTTTGGATGATAAATATTACACTCAAAGAAATGGTCGACATAAAGTTGAATACAAATTTTTTTCTTTATGCTATAGGAAATAAATACAACTTTTTCATCAAAAAATTATTAGAAGAAGAATTCCTTAATTTTTCAAATATTAAAGGTGAAAAAATATTGAACTTAGTAAATATTGCTAAAAAAGTTTGCAAATAAGATACTTGATTTTTTTAAAAAAATCTGTAGTAAGTTAGAATTTT